CGTCCGGTGGCGACGTCGCGGAGGCGGTGGTCGTTGAGGACGAACTCGGCGCCGTTGTCGAGATCGCGGATTGTGAGAAGCTGCTCCTGGTCGGGCTTGGGATTGGGATTGGGAGGTTTAGGGTTTGCGGCGTCGGATTTGGATCGGAGAGGCGAAAGGCGATCGCGAGGGTGAGGGTGAGGGTGAGGGTGAGGGTGAGGGTTTGGGCGCGTGAGGCCGAGTGAGAGAAAGAGGCGCGTGCGGCGCTCGGAGACGGAGGAAGGGTGGGAGATCCATATGTCGTAGTTGTTGAGCGCGTAGGCGTCGTTGTTGTCGTTGTCTTCGTCGGAGTTAGAATTGGAGCAGGAGCAAGAGGAGGAGAGGGAGAGCAAACGGTCGTGTGAGTCGTAGAAGCAGTCTTGGTCGTCTTCTTGTTGTTGTTGGTCTCCGAGGGCTTTGCTCATGATTCGTTCCAGCAGCGATTCCGCCTTCCCCTTGGCGATGAAAATGCCCCTTCCCTCCTCCGATCCGATCACCCACTCCTGTGCTGCTGTTAGATCCCAATGCACTATGGCTATGCAGAGAGAGAGAGAGAGAGAGAGAGAGAAACCACAAACACAAGCACAAGCACAAGCACAGCGCAGCAGCGTAAACAAAACAACCAGATACGGAATTTCTTTTTTATTTATTTTTATTTTTAATATATATATATATATATTTATTTATTTCTTTTTTATCTCATTGATATATGATGATATCTATCTATCTATCCAATCTACCGCCCTCGCCGTTTTCCTTTGCCTTTGCCTTTGCCTTTGCCTTTGCCTTTGCGCTCTGTTCTGTCTCTCTCTGTTTTCCCTTGGACTTCCAACTACTAACAATTTCCAATTCCCCTATTTCTCTTTTTATCTCTCTATCCAAATTAATACTGCTACCACCTTTTATTTATTTCTTTCTAAATTAACGTGGTCCAATTTATTTTTTTTTATCTAACCCTGCCTAAATTATACTTGCTAGAGTAGACCTACACATTGCGCCATGCCTATATAATTCAAACACTACCACCAATATCAAAGATAAGTTCTTGTGTATCAATTTGAGCTCTCAATTTTATGGGTACAAGTTAGTAAATAATGTGTTATATTAGCTAAAGATTTAAACTAACCCTCTTTTTATACTCTTGATGTTTTGGTGCTTTCAACTGAGACATCGTTTTTCTAAATTTTTATAGCACAAAATTCTAATATTAGGTTTGTTTTGTTAAACTTAAAAGGAAGTGTTTTTAAATAAGTGATTAAAAAAATTAAAAAGCAAGTAAGAGTTTTTTTATAAAAAAAAAAAAAGACAAATGCTTTTTTTTTTTTAAGTATAAAAGTATTTAATTTATTAGAAAAAAGTATTTAAATATATGAATTATATTTCATATTTATGATGATTATTTTATATTACAATATAAAATTATTTTTATTTATTAATAAATTTTTAAAATATTAATATTTAATTAATAAATAAAAATTTAATTTGATAAGAATTTAAAATTTTCTAAAATTCATCTAATAGAAGAGAAACTCCTAAATTAAATTAAAAAAAAAAAACTCTTACGCAATAAAGACGTTGGTACTTAGTATAAAGGTTGATTAATTATTCAATAAAGATGAAACGAGATTACGTTATTTCCTGGGTATTAAGAATATTTGTCAAAGATAAACTTTAAATTTTGCATTTATGTTATGAATAGATCGACGCTAATTCATTTATGAAAACCGATTTTAAAAAAAACGCTAAATTATCTGTATCTTATGAGGAATATTTTAATTTTATTTCCAACAAAAATAAACATTTTAATAATAGAATATAGATGATTGTCAAATAAAAAAATAACTAGAATATAGATCATCATATCATTGTAATTACTTTTATTTTAAAATGAGATTATTTGTCTTCCTCTTCTTCAAAGAAGAGAAATAATAATAGAAATATGCGTTTCATTTTGTTTCTTAAAATATTTCATCATCCAATAATTGAAAAAATTAATCTTTAAATATATAATCTTCTCAAGTATAATCCGAGGGCAAAGACAGAAAAGCCCTCCATTATATTTTTGTCATAAACATGTTCCATGCCAAGTTTGATTCCCACCAACAATCCCATTGGCGTCATCTTTTGCAAATATTTAACTTTATGCTCAGATTTTTCTATTTCATTTTCCATAAATATAAAACTTAGAAGAAAAAAAATGCTTCTAAAATTTTATACACTAAGCATACCTTAAAAAAACAAAAGTCTTATTTCAATGGATGTGTTGTACATAGTTAAGCACATGAGCATGATTTTCCAGGATTGAGTTAAAAGTAACAGTGGTGTAGATCTCCAACCATTACCAACAAAAGTTTTGGTGTTGCTCAATTTGTCCCTCGAATAGTTTAGTGTTTCTCAAAGTGTGTTGCAGTTTTGTGAGGCATTATTATTGTGTCTTGGATTAGCACTCAACAACATATTTGTTTTTGTTTTGGGCAATTCAAAAGCTACCATCACAACAAAGACATTTACTAGAGGAATTTTAGGGACATTTGATTATGCTAACTGGGGACAAATTAAAAGTTAAAGGTGTGTCATTATGCGATAGACACTGTAACTTTGAAAAGTGGTGACTTCCACCCTCTTTACAAGGCTCACCTGAATCATCTATAGGTAGGGATCACTCAACCTCTTTTCTATAATTAAGGATCGATGATGTATTAATTATTTAATTAAATAAACCCCCAATCTTTCCCTTTTAACTTTTCATTATTCATGTGTTGAATATCATTATATTTCAGACCCATGTTATCTTTGTCTTTCAGCAATAATCCAATTTATAAATGATTATTTTAATTGCCTTTTATATATATATATATATATATATATATATATATATATAAAGATAAAATATTAGATAGAGATTACATTCATGACTATCAAATAGAAAGTTAACAACATATTGAAAATTCTCTGATCAAGCACTTCTATTTATTTAATAATTAATAATATCTAATTGACCCAAAATTTTGTTTATAGAAAATGTATAAAAAAAAATACAAAGTAAGATTTTATTGGCTTTTGAAATACCTCATGGAAGGAAAGTAATGATTTTTTTCTTCTTCTTATATACCCAATATCCACAAGTTACATGACTTTCTAGTTAATATGATCATTAAACTTCGACTAATCTAAATTACCCTCTGGGGGATCCATTTAAAGAGATAAAGTCCTCCCAAATTCCTTTTTTTTTTTTTTTCTCATTTACATTATTTGATCGTGAAATAGTAGTATTACTTAAAATAAATTAAAAAAAATTATCACTTCAACTAATAGACATAAATCATGGAAGGGAAGTGTTGTCAAAATAAATGGTATAAAATCTTTCAATTATTGTACCCAAAAAAACAGTCTGTTTAATTATTAGCTTTATACTACTGTTAATTAGTTTCCCTGCATAGTTTTTTTTTTTTAAATTTTAAATAATGACAGCTGCACGAGAACATTGAGAAGTGAGAATTATTAGAACCATTATATTTTTAAAACTGGTTTTATTCAATAACTAATTAAAAGAGAAAATGTGAGGAAATAGTTAAAAAAAGAACTTGTATGTGTAAGCAATATTAACTTATTGAAAATCTTGTAGTTTTCTCTAATTCCATTAATTTATTTAGACGTACATTAAAAAGTTTTAACTTTTTAAGAATCTGAAATTATAAATATTAATTTTTTTCATGTTTGATTTGTAATTTTAAAAATAATATTTTTAGCAAATATTATTTCTCAAGATTAGTTTTTGCACAAAATTCTTACAAAATTGTTCTTCTGGAAAGTGGAAAAAAGACATTCTTGATTTTGAAAAAAAAGTTTTAATGTTGTAAATGTCATGTTATGTTTTTATGTTTATTTAATACAGTAAAAATATTTAATTTCCATATAATATTTATAAATATTTCTAGAAATATTTATAATTAACATAATAAGTTTTTATCATTTATATAAATCATATTATTATGTTTGTGATTTTCATAAATCATTATTTTTTAGGTATGAAAAACTGTATCATATACCAAACACTCCATTAAAATAAAATTAAGGATATTCAATTCCTACTCTAACATCAAGATGGTTACTAATCATAGATATTAATAGAGGATTCAATATACATAGTTTAGTCAAGCATTTGATATTTGGGAAATATAATAAATCAAAATATTATTCACAAGATATAATTCAATGAGATTAAGGAGGTATATTGAATTGAAATTTTATAAGATTTTTTTTTATGAATTTTAAAATTTTTTTATAAAAATATTATAATTTTAAAGATTTTTATAAAAGATTTTTTTAATCAAGATTTTTTTAATCAAGATTTTGTAATATGAATTGTAATAGATTTGTATCTTAAAAATTTATAAGATTTGAAGGAAATTTATTAAATTTCAAATGACAATATAAATTTTAAAAAATAAAACAATTTTTCTATATACATAAATGTCAAGTAAAGGAAATAAAATTAATTATTTTTTCAATTATATTTTTATGTCCTCTTAAGTAATATTTCTCTACATACAACCTTATATGCATTTATATTTTCTCATTAATAATATGTTTAAATTATAATATTTATTAATTAATAGAATTATCAAAAGAAATTCTAATTATTTTAATTAAATATCACATAACTTTTTATATTAAAAAAAGATTGATTAAATATTACAAGACTTTTTATAATAAACAAATCTTTTAAAATTATTTGAAATCTCAATCTAATACACCTCTTAAATAAATCTCATTCATAAAATAAATATTATAAAACAAGAACTCTCATTTCATTTTTGTTATATA